CAGTCTTTAGATGTGCAAAGCTAGAAGAAACATACTCTAAAAGACATGCAACTGTAACTGCAACAAAATGTGATTCAACAAAGTTTTGACTCAGTGTGAGTGAGTGAATATTAACATATTCAAGAGATGAATACTTTGTTGTTCTAATTATATTTTGCCTTCAGAGAACTATGCATTTTGTGTTGATCAAATGTTAAAAAAGACCTTTTAAATCAATTTGAATTCTAGTTGGTATTACTACAATATGTGGAACAATTTAAGGTAAGGTGAATACTTATTCAAGGCAATATATATAATGATGATGATTTTGTTTGACTAAAAAAAAATGGTTAGCCAGAATATTTCTGGAGGATAACATTTTTAAGACAAGTTGTCTTTGTAATTAAATGTAATTTAATATAATAGCTAAATAAGAGGTGATAATAGCAACATATAAAATTAAATCAGAAATTTATATTTCCTAGCTCAAGGATTAACAAATATGGTTTCCACCTTGTCAAGAGGTTTCATAGTAAATGCTACAAGCACTTAGAATTTTTGAAGTGGATGTTCTCTGGATATATATATATATATATATATATATATATATATATATATATATTATTACTTTCAGGAACTTATCAGATGTCTTGGGAATTTCTGTTCAAAAGAAGATTTGCAAGACTGCTTTCAATTCACACCTTAGATGCCTTTTAGCAACTCACTGTTCTTTAAAGCTGTAATCTCTAGTTATGTGTGTGTGCATATATATATTAGTGCTCAATATATATATATATATATATATATATATATATATATATATATAATATATATTAAATTTCAAGAAGATAGAATCCAGGTTGAGCTCAATGTCCAGGACAGAGCAAAATATAATACAAAAAAGGCTCAAATGCTAATATTAATTATAACCATGGAATATTAGTGTTTGAGCCTTTTATATATATATATATATATATATATATATATATATATATATATATATATATATATATATATATATACACACACACACAGTGTGCGATGGATAAATTGTTGCTATTTTATATTTTAATTTCTCACATGTGCATTGTTTGTTTTTAATCTTGTTGACTGTGCAGTATAGTAGGGTCAGTTGGGCACTGTCTGTGAGAAAAAGAGCATCATGATGAAATTCACTCTACCAGAAGTTTTGCTTTGAATTCACACTGAAAGCTCCAATACAAACATTTCAGAGTGTTTGGGTGTCAATCTGAGGACAGTACAGAGGATTCAGAAAGAGTTGTATTACTCTAATGATGATTACGATGTTGTTTGGAGCGATCACTATTGAAGATATCATTATGATGCCTCCATTCATCTTTCTACAGGGCCTCAAACTCAACAGGGAGGCCTACATCATGTTCATTGAGAAGGTGCTGCTGCTCTGGGTCAAAAGAGTGGCTGCTGGAAGGTCCTCTATCTGGTAATAGGACTCTGCACTATGCCACACAAGCAGGAGAACTCGGTCATGGCTGTCAGACAATTTTTTTGACCACATTGTTGGTTTACTATGCTGTGCATAACAATTTTTCCTTTCAGTAACTACCTTATGTATCTATAAGTATATCATTTGTCCATGCTTAGAATTTTGCTGCAATATATGGCCAGTGCTCCTGCTATGTATCTAGAACTCTTTGATAAAATCCAAAGAAGAATCAGAAATATTATTGGTAGTAATCTCATACTTCCTCACCACCATACAGTTGCTTCCCTGTGTCTTTTATGCAAATATTTTAACATTGTTAAAATGAGATGTCACTGTTATTTTCATATTTGTGTAATTTAGATGGCAGTTTATCCATTGCACCTGTATATATATATATATATATATATATATATATATATATATATATATATATATATATTAAATTAACTGGTTTAAAATATGTTTTTTTTGCTACACAGTAATAAACATGTTTCAAAAATGGAAGCTAAAAACTTCAAATTTAATTTTGTAATTAACAAATATGGTTTCCTAAATTCGCTTGAAGATGAAATGGAACTAATGTTTTTAATTTAATTACAAAATTAAATTTGAAGTTTTTAGCTTCCAGCTTTGAAACATGGTTATTACTGTGTAGTGAAAAAAACATATTTTAAACCAGTTAATTTATAATATTTATGCTCTGTAAATTTACATTGAGCACTGTTTTGTAAAAATAAAAATATCAATAAGAACACCAGATTATAAATCTTACTGTTCTTTGTTTTTATCTATCTATCTATCTATCTATATATATATATATATATATATATATATATATATATATATATATATATATATATATATTACTTTAAATGTTAGTGGATACTTGTGTTTGAGTAGATGCCTAGTTTTTAAAAAGATCCAGTGTGATTTAAACCACTCAGCCATACTGCATATCACAGCCCAGCTAGGTTTTATTTACCCTTTTTAAGGAAGGCACAACCCCTCATTCAGATCTTCTCAAAAGCCTTTATCTCATTGATTTTGTATCTGATAGGTAAACAAATAATCTATAGTGGCAGCAAATTGCCTTCATATACATAGAAAATGATTTCAGAAGATATACAAAAATAGAAAGAGGTGTAAGACAATGATGTGTCTGCTCACCAGACTAATTTAATCTATACAACCAGGCAGTTCTAAGTGAATTAGATGACCTTCCAGGATTTATTATTGGTGACCACAATCTTATTGTAGACATGGAAAGTAAACTACAAAAGTCCTACAGAAAGTAGTGAAGGAAAGTGAGAAAAAAATGATTAGACATAAACTTCAAGAAGAAAGAATGAATGTTTGTTAGCAAATGGATGCGATACAGTGAGGCAGTGGGAAGTGACTGAAGCCAAGCTGAGCTGCTAGATTAGGACTGATTATATTGCTGATTCTTCTTTGGATTTTATCTTAGCCACTGACCTAGCAATGGATTCATACTATTTTCATGCCTCAAATTATTCACAGTAAGTAACTGTTTTATCTGGTGTTATATTTTCATTATTGTAAATATTCTTTTCGTGAATATATTTGTTGGAATGTATATCCCTGATTTTTGAATGGAGAAATTAATGTCCACTGGCAAAGACAGCAGGAAATGTTATTAAAGAAAATACATTGTTATTATTGTTAAATTTTCATCAGTTTTTCTTTAGTGTTACTTGCATTGTATTTTATAACAATGCTCATTTTGTTTTTACATTCTATGATCAAAAAGCAAGTAGCAATTTTCAATATTTTCCATAAATATATTAATGGAAATTTTGATTCACAGAGAAATAGAAGGCCTACTAATTTTTCACTATTGGTGACCACAATCTTAACAACATAAAATATGCAGATGACACATTGTTGATAACAGACATAGGAAACTACAAGAACTTCTACAGAAAGTAATGGAAGATATCAAGAAGAAAGAACTAAAGATTAATTTGTAAGAAGACAGAATGAATAGTTATCAGCAAAAGGATGATCCCAAAATGCAAATTACAATTTAGAGATACCAAAATCAAACAAGTACAAAGATTTAAATATTTGCAAAGTATTTTAACAGAGGATAAAAAGGACGACACAAAATCAAAAAAAGGTGCATTGAGATAGTGAAAATTGCCTCCCTAAAGCTAAGCAATGTATTATGAAACAGGAAAATTGTGTTAGAAATAAAGAAAAGAGTACTGAACTGCTATGTTATATCTACCTACTTACATAGCAGTGAATACTGGCCAACCTCCTTGCAGATGATGAAGCAGATACTTAAAACAACAGGAATGTGATCTACAGAAGGATGCTGAGAATAACATGAGCAAACATGTTAGCAAGTTTTAGAATAAATGAAAACAAAAGGGACACTTATACTTAACATCCCAAGGAGGTAGTTGAAATTTCTAAGTATGAGGAAAGAGGGTTTAGAAAATTTGATACACACAGAGCAGATTGGAAGCAAGGTAGACAGAGGAAAACACATAATCTGCCTAGAGAGCTTGAGTAAATGGATGGTGGAATAAGGTTTAGGAGAGATAAGGAAAAGACAAAATGGCTGGTAGCAAAAGGAACAGCCTAAAATGCAGATTGCAAATTAGAGATACCAAAATCAAACAAGTACAAAGATTTAAACATATGAGAAATGTTCTAACAGTGTGATACTGAAATTAAAAGATGCATTGGGATAGAAACAACTTGTTAGAAACAAGGAAAAGGGTACTGAACTCTTATTTGATATCTGTTCTGCAGAAGGATGCTGAGGATACAATGGATTGAACATCTGAGCAACAATGACGTTTTAGAGAAAATCAATACAAAAAGGAAACTTATGTTTAACATCAGGAATAACAGTTGAAATTGCTTGAGGAAGGAGGACTTGGAAAATCTGATACTCACATGACAGATTGAAGGCAAGAGAGACAGAAGAAAACAGAATATAACATATTTGATAAGCTTGAGGAAATGGATGGTAAAACTGGGTTTATGAGAAATAACAAAAAAGACAATTTATTAAGAGCTATAAAGGAGAGAAAGATGTGGAGAGTCATGATCGCCTATTTCCTGAGGGGCCACGGCACATAAAGAGGGATAAGCAAAGCAATTTCTAAGAAATAATGGATTTTTATTTTTAATCCAACATTACTTTTAGAGGATATCCATTTTTGAGTAGATATCCTGTTTGTATATTGTATTTTTGTGTATTATATCTACTGGCTAGAAGACATAAACTTAAGGTAAATGCACTTACCAGCAGGGTTCAAATCTGCATTCATGTTAGAAATTCTGTCTATTTGGTCAATGAATGTCTAATATTACCATTACTATTAGAGGTGGGGAGAACAGATAATACACATTGATTGCTGTTTGAAGGCTTGAGAGAGTCAAGTATAACCCAAATAGCACTGTCTTTTTAGTTCAGGAATACCAAATCTTTTTATGAATGTGACATATATGAACACACACACACACACACACACCTACACCTATCTTAAATAAATTCTTTAAACTAACATTATTTCTTATTATGGTAAACATTACTTCTATCTGTCACAATCTGTTCATATCTATCTCAATCTGTTCATATCTATCTATCTATCTCAATCTGTTCATATCTATCTATCTATCTATCTATCTATCTATCTATCTATCTATCTATCTATCTCAATCTGTTCATATCTATCTATCTATCTATCTCAATCTGTTCATATCTATCTATCTATCTATCTATCTATCTATCTATCTATCTATCTATCTATCTCAATCTGTTCATATCTATCTATCTATCTCAATCTGTTCATATCTATCTATCTCAATCTGTTCATATCTATCTATCTATCTATCTATCTATCTCAATCTGTTCATATCTATCTATCTATCTATCTATCTATCTATCTATCTATCTATCTATCTCAATCTGTTAATTATCTATCTATCTCAATCTGTTCATATCTATCTATCTATCTATCTATCTATCTATCTATCTATCTATCTATCTATCTATCTATCTTCAATTGATTTTTTAAACCAACATTATTTTTTATTATTAATATTATTTGCTGTTAGTACATCCCTGAATTTTTTCTTTTTCTTTTTTTTACTCAAACACTGAAACCAGACTAAATTAAGAGAGAAAAATATACCTCCTGACCCTGAATAGAACATGTATTCCCCTTTTTCCCATAAGGGAAACCACTGGAAAAAAGTGAATAAATTCAATTCCTGTTGAATTTTTTTTTTTGTTTTGTAGGATTTCTTGATCTAGGCTGGTTGATATTAATTTTATTGTTTAAGAAAAAGGAAAAGAAAATCTGGGATAATTCCGGAAAGAATAACATACAAATTTTCTGAGCAGCACAAACCATACTCTATCCTGGACATTATTCTTTATATATCTGGAGTTCAAGCTGATTTCCTTTTAGTTTCAGAGATTTTTCTGATTAATAATAAATGCAAATAAAATTATCCTGCAGCAACAAAAGCCAATTAGATTTCTGACCAATTGACTCAGCTAGCCAAATACAAACACCTAAACTCAGAGATTTAAGATGTGAATTCATCATTATCATACAGTGTCTCTTCTACAACTTGGTAATTTTGGCTCTTTTAGCCTCCAGTTTCCTCATGTGTTATATTTGGTAGCCTTCCGGATATTTTGAACTAAACACTTTATTCAGTCTACAGGGTAGATTGTTCTCATTCCATTTTCCATGCTGAAGGATATCCCATATCAGTCAATTCTATCTAGTTAATTAGTTCTCATTATATCTCATGTCTCTTTCACTAAACATGATTAGTTGACTTTTATGCACTACCCAACTCTGCAACTGAATGGACAACAACCAGGTAACTTGATTCACTTATTGTTATATTATGTCTTAACTGAATCTAATGGAACTTTCCCCCCTACAGAATTGATGTTCGAAAGAAAAATTAAATTTTGTTGCTGTTTCTGGAGTTCCAATAATTGCTGTTGTTGTTGTTGCTTATTTTTAACACTTGGGCTAATAATTCTTTCCTATTTAAAACATATGTTTTGTTTGTTTTCCTTCTTTCTCTCTCTTTTTTTTTACACATACCAAAGCAAATCCCATAAATGCTTCAATTTTAACCTTTAACACTCTGCATTATTCACTACTTTCCTTTTCACTGCATTGTTTTTCAAGGCTCCTCTATTGCACTACATAATTTCAGTCATGGTCATTTTCTGTTGCCATAGCAGGATATGACTACACAACTGCAAATTTTAAACATGCTATAATTCATTCAGCTGAGTCACCTGCAGTGGCAGGATAAAATTTTTGCTTTGCAAACAAAGTCACCTGCAAAATGTTAAACGTTAATCTCTTCAAGTCAAGGATCAATCATCATTTTTCTTCTCATCCTTATAATCTTCACTTCATCTTATCTTCTGGTCTTTCCCTTATCTTCCATTAATATCACCCAATTCATTCATCATTATCCTTTTGACTGTTACTCTCTACCTTGAGAGACTCTTGAGTTTTGTGCTGTATTCCTTCAGGACATGGGCTATTATGGTTCCACACAACTTTCTATCTTTTGTAACTTTTAGCATATTTGTCTTTTCTCCCCGCTACTCCATGTTCTGCCATGCGAAGCTCATTATGCAGGTTACCCACTGTTTTTTTTCTATCCTTCTTGCCTTCAGTATGTCATGGGAGTATCAAATCTTCCAAGCCATCATTCCTCATTATGTTCCATAGAAATTTCAACTACTTCTTTCTGATTCTAAGTATAAGCTTCATTTTTCCACTTTCCTCAAAACTTTATCATTACTCACATCTTCTGACCATGGTATCCTCATTATCCTTCTGTAGAACCACATTTTTGCTGCCTCAAATCTTTTCTTTATTTCTGAGGAGATTTTCCAGCAGTTATTACCACAGAGATAATTTATTGATTTAATAAATAATCTAGTAAAGCAGCATATAATGTTTATTCATTTACTAGCAGTAGAGCCCGGCGTTGCCTGGGGATGTAACAGTAAGAGATAGATCAAGTATCGACCATCATAAAGACTGAAAAATTGACAAAGATTATTGTTTAAGGTTGACAGACACGCATGTCTTAATTAGTTATTTTTTTTTTTTTTTTACGAATTGGTCAAACCCAAACTCAAACAAAAACATTGTTTTCAATCGTTATGAGTCTACCGATTGAATAGAATTTTATTATAAACAATTGTTTTGTAAATAGAATTTTTAAAGCATTCTGAATGTAAAAATAAAAAAAGTGTGCAAGACAATAAGAAACACTACCTGCCAAAAAAAATGTGAAGTTTTGTTGAAATCGGTTGAAAAATGTAGGAAATCCGATTCTATGTATAAATGAACACACACAAACAACCTGGGTTTTATAATGAGTATAACTCGATATGAGTTGTCTCCCTTTTTTCTCTGGTGTTCCTTTCTCCAGCTGTAACACAGTAACCACAGATGTTGATTGTGCAACATAATTGTTTTTCTTGGACTTCAAGAGGATGCCATATAAAGATGCAATCTCTGAAGATCTTCAATCTGTGAGGGTTCAACAGATCACCCAACACATGATTTGATTATAGAGGTGAAGCTTTCAGCAGAGCCATCCATACTTTTATTAATAAATGCTTACAAAGAACAGGTGGAAATAATGTGCCCTCTTCAAGTTTGAATATAGAGTTGTCCCCTTAGACTGGTTGTCAACAAAGGCTAAAGAACACAGTCTTCACTAATCTTTAACCCACAGCTGGTGTGGGTGAAGAGATAGCTTCATACCTCTCCTGAGAGTTTTTCTTGAAAGTGACTGTAATGACTGGCCGGAATTCAAAGACAGGTCCCTGATTTCTCATTCCAAGCCAATGACTGTTATACCACTTGCACCTACCTATCTTATATATATATATATATATATATATTACAGCTCAAATGTTTGAGGCCACCCCCTGGTAATTTTTTAAAATGAGAGAAAAGTAGTATACATTTTTGGCATTTGTTGCAAAAGTTTCTCTAAGTATAAGTTTGATAATTGATTCCATTCTTTTTTCAATGACTTTCTTTTTTTTTTAGTCTTCTGTAGTTCTGAGGGGGGCTTCAAACTTTTGGACTTTAGTTTAGATATATTTGTATCAATTGGTCATCAAAAAAGTAATTGCCATAACTATTATACTATTATATTTACAACAACAAAGCAATTAGGTTAGCACAAATAATATAAATTAAGATAACATAACTACAGCCATTCACTGATTATTTAGAATTCTCAGAAATTTAAATTATGGTTATTATGTCTTTATTTCAAAATTTATTGAAAAAAAAGTAAACCTAAATATATTCCAGTCATTGTAAATTTCTACAGATATTTCTAGAAATGAAATACTACAGGAATTCACAGATATTTCCCAGTCTCTTTCATCAACAGGGGAATGTAATTTCATTGTTTCGATTGTGCATGTATTAATGAGTAATAATCATATTGATGATTGTTAATCCATGATTTCATTGTGTTCTCCAATCACTCAGATGCTGACATGAGATAAGAGGTGAGTTGACATCGACGTCAGGGTTTCATCTTGTTATCTGATTAACCTCGATAGCAGAACAATTAAATAATCCTAGCTGTGCATGTCCACTTAATAACATGAACGACAGATGTGGTAAACGATAAACAACCGTTTCAGCTCGTTTGCATTTTTGATTGAAGTACAGGTAATCAGAATTATTGAAAGGGCACCTGGCTGGAAATACAAGAGTTCAATGCAATTATCACCTGTCCACAGAGAGATTGAAAGATGAAACATAAGACTTATTGCTTCAGTGAGGATATTAGAAAGCAAGGAGTGGGTAGTTAGTTGGTATCTGGAGAGTATTTGTACTGGGAATATAATTTAAATGAAGTATAGCAAAGTACTGTAGCTAAATTTAATGGTTGATTTGGGATACATTAGATAACAGGAAAATTTTTGTGACTTGTTTTGAGTGGAAAACATTTTGAAACAATTTGAAAGAGGCTTCAAGAATATATATATATATATATATATATATGCAGGAATATAGTTTTAAAGTGTGCTATATTTATGGGATAAAGTGCTCAATATCACAGATAGAGTGTATTTAAATATAAAAGTGAACAATGAAGTCAATACACAGGGCCTGATGATTACATCTAGCATGAAACAGCCTGTCTCCTCTGAGTGTTGACTTCAATGTTCACTTATATATATATATATATATATATATATATATATATATATATATATATATATATATATATACACATATATATATATATATATATATCTTATCATATATAAACTTTGTGTGTATGTATATATTTAATTTCTCATTATATATATGATTTCTCTTTCTCACTCTCTCTCTCTCTCTCTCTCTATATATATATATATATATATATATATATATATATGTATGTATGTATATAAATATATATTGTTAAATATAACAGATAATGAATGTCTGTTTGATCATGAGCTGTCCTAAACTCACATTTCAAACTAGTCACAACATATTACATTGCATGTAGACATATAGTTCTGTTGTTAATATTTCAGACTCTCACATGGTACAACATCATAGAACTGCATCAAGAATTTACAACCTGCATCTGCTATTCTATGACCATTATCATTGCATAGCAATTTTCTATGTCATCATAACAGAATATCATATTTGATGGTGAATATCTTTCTCTGAATGTCTGTATAACCACTCTGAAAATGGCTCATGTGAAATGAAAGCTTAGATCAAGGAACAGCTTAATAAAAAATATTCCAATGTTAGACAATTTTTGTGTTTATTTTCACCTAAAATTAAAGCAACTATACAAAGCTTTGAACAGTTGATAATCAAACATAATAGACATTCATTGTCTGTTATATTTTACAATATATGTTTCAATAATGATCTGATGCCCCAATACATTAAATATAAACAGTCACTATTACTGCTGATAATGCAAGACTCTCCAAATTGGATTGAGTTCTCTGGATCACTGGTGTGTTTATGAAAAATAAATACGTAAAAATTCACCTTTCTCTCTGCTTAGCATTGATAGCCTAAAGGTTAGAATCCCCGACTGATGCCAAATCGGTTGGGT